GGGCTCTCTGCTCAGCAGGGAGCCTGCTTCCCTTCCTCTCTCTCTGCCTGTCTCTCTGCCTACTTGTGATCTCTGTCTGTCAAATGAATAAATAAAATCTTAAAAAAAACCCAAAACACACAGTATATATACTCTTCAGGTAACATAGGATGGTTTCTTTGGAAATTATGCATAATTTATAATATATAAAATTTATATATATAGTATATATTATAAAATTTATAAATACTTTAAGTTATATATAATTTATATACATAAATTCAATTCTTAGAGATAAAAATGATGTCTGTTTTAGGATTTCTTTTTGTGGGGACCAATGGCCAAAAAGGGGCACTGTTTGCTTAAAAAAAAAACCAGGAATTTTCTTTTTTAAAAGATTTTATTTATTTGACAGAGATCACAAGTAGGCCTAGAGGAAGGGGGGGGGAGGGGGAGCAGGCTCCCCACTAAGCAGAGAGCCCAACGAGGGGCTCGATCCCAGGACCCCGGGATTATGACCCGAGCTGAAGGCAGAGGCTCCAACTGACTGAGCCACCCAGGCACCCCCCTTTTTTTTTTTTTAAGATTTTATTTATTTATTTATTTGAAAGAGAGACAGAGCCAGTGAGAAGGGTCGAGGGAGAGGGAGAAGCAGGCTCCACGATGAACAAGAAGCCCTACCAGGGGCCGGATCCCAAGACCTGAGATCATGACCTGAGCTAAAGGCAGACACTTAACTGACTAAACCACCCAGGCACCCCCAGGAATTTTTTAAAAATAAGTTTATCAGGGGTGCTTGGGTGGCTCAGTTGGTTAAGGTACTGCTTTTGGCTCGTGTCATGATCCCAGGGTCCTGAGATTGAGCCCCGAATCGGGCACCCTGATCAGCAGAGAGCCTGCTTCTCTCTCTCCCTCTGCCTGCCTCTCTAGCTGTGCTCTCTGTCAAATAAATAAATAAAATCTTATAAAAAAAAAAGTTTATCAGAATAAAACCAAGAAAATATTTTACCATCACTATTACTTTGTCTTATTTAATTATTAATGATAAGGAAATTTTTATATTCAGAGATAGATTAGCTAAAAGATCACACTAAGAATTTAATCTCAACAAAATATGTTTGCAAGTAAAATGAAACAAAGAAAAATTTTATGTGCTTACGGATAGAATCTGGAATAGCGGTACTGATTATCTGATAACAAAAAAATACATATATATTGTTATCAATGTGATAGTCCTTTGAATTAAGAGCCAAATAGCCTGTGTAAACACTCTCTTGGTCATGAAAGCCCACAGAGGAAAGAGATCTATATTCTAAACTGACAGACCTTCCTTGAGGCCTTTTCCATGGCACTAATGACATTCCACTTTTTAATAAATATTTTATCTCCACAACTATACTGTGGTCTCCTCAGAAGGAGGAAATATTTGTCATGCACCTACGTGTCCCTCAGTGCTTCAATAGTCCATCATTGTGTTTTAAGAGAATTCCGCTCTTCAACAAGCATTTGCTGTTGTGAATGAAAAAATAAACTAGAAAAGGTATTATCATAAAGTCATTATGATATTAGATACTAGTATAAACTTTGTGCTTAGTTGTATATTTATTTTACTGTTTATATTATTAAACTTGTATTTTAAGAAATATTTATTATTTTTTTATTTTTAGATTTTATTTATTTATTTGAGAGAGAGATAGAGAAGGGGCAGAAGCAGACTCCTCATGGGGCAGGAAGCCAGAGGATTCCTGGGATCATGACCTGAGCCAAAGGCAGATGTTTAACTGACTGAGCCACCCAAGCACCCCCAGAAATATTTTTAAAAATGAAAGAATAGGGATCATAGACCATTGCCATTTTCATTTGTTTCTATTCCACACCCCACCCTACCCTTCTTCACATAATCTCAGTGCAAAGGCTTGTCTTGCAAAGGTTAGGATAACAGTTTTGACATAGGTTTAAGTCAGATGTAGGTTTGGCTGATGTAACAGAGACCTATATAAGAATGACTGAGTCTAAACAGGCGTTTGGCTTTCTCTCATGTAACACTATGGAGATAGACAGTCAAGGGCCAGTAGGATTCTCTGTTCCATGAGGTCATCCAGGAACCAGGCATCATCATCATCTTCTTCTTCTTCTTCTTCTTCTTTTTTAAGATTTTATTTATTTATTTGACAGACAGAGCTCACAAGTAGGCAGAGAGGCAGGCAGAGAGAGAGGGGGAAGCAGGCTCCCTGCTGAGCAGGGAGCCTGATGTGGGGCTCGATCCCAGGACCCTGAGATCATGACCTGAGCTGAAGGCAGAGGCTTAACCCACTGAGCCACCCAGGCGCCCCGGGCATCTTCTATCCTATTACACTACCTCCTACTCTGGTCCATATGATCTAAGGCAGCTTGTAACCTTGATCATGTTTCAAGCAGTGGGTCAAAGTAAGAGGAATACCCTTTCTCTTTAAGGACATGTCTCAAAAGGTGTTCATATCACTTCTCATATCCCAGTGGCCAGTACTAATCACATGACAGTTACTTACAAGGGAGGTGAAGAACGTTGTCTTTACCCCCGCATAGCCTTAGGCTCAGTTAAAAACTGAGTAACAGGGGCACCTGAGTGGCTTAGATGGTTGAGTGCTTGACTCTTGGTTTCAGCTCAGGTCATGATCTCAGGGTCCTGGGATTTTCACTCAGCAGGGAGTCTGCTTATGGATTCTTTCTCTCTCTCTCCCTCTGCCCCTCTCCCTGCTTGCTTTCTCAAATAAATAAAAACAAACATAAAAACAAACACAGGGTAATCACATTGGGAGAGGGAACAATGGATACTGATGGACAACCAGTACTCACTGCTATACAAGATCACTGGAATTCCACATATCCGTGATAGAAAAGACTCAAATCATAGAAATTGTCTGGGATAACAGAATCTGGGTCCTTGTGTCATGGTTCCTTCCAGGCCTGCTTATACACTGTAAAGTCATCTTCCTCCTGATCTTCTCTTTTCCTTTCCCTGGGCAACTCAGGATACCTGCTTGCTACCCTTTCCTATTATTTCAACCAATCCTCTGACTCTTTTTTTTTTTTTAATTTTTTTAAAAAGATTTTATTTATTTATTTGTTAGAGAGAGAGAGAGAGAGAGAGAGAGAGAGCATGAGCACAGGCAGACAGAGTGGTAGGCAGAGGCAGAGGGAGAAGCAGGCTCCCTGCCGAGCAAGGAGCCCGATGTGGGACTCGATCCCAAGACGCTGGGATCATGACCTGAGCCGAAGGCAGCCGCTTAACCAACTGAGCCACCCAGGCGTCCCCAATCCTCTGACTCTTTCCAAATTATCTGATAGCTTACATTTGCAGGCACTTCTTTAGTTTGCATTGTAGACCTTTTATTCTGTAATCCTTGTTAGACTGATAGCTTAGGTCAGGGATTGTCTAATATTATTGTGTCTTCTGGATGAAATCTAGCCCACTACCAACCAATTTTTGTGAATAAAGTTTTATTAGAACACAGTCACACTATTTTGTCTCTGGCTATTTTCATGCTACAAGAGCAGAATGTTGTAGTTGGAAGAGACACTGTTAAGAGATATATTCGGCCTACAAAACCTAACATATTTACTATCTGGCCTTTATAGAAAAAGTTTACTGATTCCTGGGCTAGACTTGAAGACATTAATTTGGTTTGCATCGTAGATTTTTAAATTTTGTAATCCATATTTAATTGATGGTAGACGTCATATAAAACCTGATCTCTTTCTCTCTGGTCAACTCCACACACTCTACTCATTCCTATGTGGTTCAGGCTCCTAATATTCGTGCAGCTATTTCATGTTTCTCTGCCTTAGCCAAGGTTGTCATCTGGAAAACTCTTATTCAACCTTCAAGACCAGTATCAAAAATATGATCCTAACTCTAAAGTCCTTATTGACTTGTTCAGGCAAACAGATCAGTCCTTTCTGATGCCATCACTGTAGGCTGAATCAGATAATTTGAGATCCCAAAAAGTGGAGGCACCAAGAAACAGGAATGAGAAGACACTTAAAAACTGCTATCTGGGGCCACCCGGGTGGTTCAGTCGGTTAAGCGTCTGACTCTTGATCTCAGCTTAGGTCTTGATCTCAGGGTCATGAGTTCAAGCCTCTAATTGGGCTCCATTAAAAAAAAAAAAAATGCCTGACATTTTTAAGATAGCATCAAAGTAGTCACCATTACAAAAATCAGTACTTTGGTGCAATTCCTTCTAGCAACTTCATAGTTTAGTAACTTTTTTTTCTGTTTAACTACATGAGGGTTGGGGGGGTAAGTATCATAATCATTGCAGAGTTTAGGAAGTCTCAAGATCTTTTTTTTTTTTTTTTAAAGATTTTATTTATTTATTTGTCAGAGAGAGAGAGGGAGAGAGAGTGAGCACAGGCAGACAGAATGGCAGGCAGAGGCAGAGGGAGAAGCAGGCTCCCTGACGAGCAAGGAGCCCGATGTGGGACTCGATCCCAGGATGCTGGGATCATGACCTGAGCCGAAGGCAGCTGCTTAACCAACTGAGCCACCCAGGCGTCCCAGGAAGTCTCAAGATCTTAATCCAGACCTCTATTGCTACATGTAACACATAGCTTTTAATATGCAATTACATGGATGGCTATGAGTCTATTAACTGCCTTCCCTCCTGGGACTATACATTCTTTAAGACAGTGACCATATCTTTTGTCCTTAAAAAAAGTACATGGACTCATAGAAATATACTCTTGAAACACTGGTTAAATGAAATCAAACTGAATTGAATATGTTCCCTAGGTCTCTTATGATATTATTTCCTGATATAGAAACATATCCCTGGAGGAAATGTTCTTCATAATATCAGTATGGTTGAATTATTAATTTTAACAAGTGTTTTCAATGTTTAACTACTGAGTGCTTTAGTTCAGTATGTGAGATACTGGGGACATAGGACTTATTATTTCTCCCCCACCTCCCACAAGTACATCTCTAGAAATGGAAGCTAACATAATTTCCTGTAGGTAACACTGGGGCCAGACAAATTTTCCTATTAACCCTATATTAACCAATACTGAGACTAGGCATAGAACACTTAGCTGCTTGTGGGAAATACTCTTCTAGAAGATGAGACCCAATGAAAACAAGGCAAGACCCAAGTAAAAGACCTTCACTTTGTTGTGCCCCCAACAGACAGTCATTATGTCATAAACTCCACCTATCCCAACCAGTTTTCCACCATCCAAAACCCAGTCCAGACCCTAAAACCCTATGAACAGCCTTTCTCTAAACCTCCCATTTTGAGAAATTACTGAGGCTCTGTCAAGGTGGGTCTCTTTGTGGAGAGATGTAATAAATAGCTTTGCTTCATCAGTGGGTTTTTCTGATGGGGAATTGACAGTCAACTCGACCTCTCTTTAGGCTGCTGCTTCTTCCTACACTTCTTTCAGATAATTTGGTTTTCAAAAGTATCAAAGTATAAAATGTATTTGTAAGGCTGGGCCTGATTTTATTTTGTACACAGAAACAAGTCAGCACACAGAGGGATGTGGCTAAAGTTTTCAGGGTCAACTCTCTGATGTTCTTACGGATTTCATACTTAGGATCACAAATAAAACTTGGTTTGGTTAATTACAATAATCTTCGATTTTAGTTTCCCTTCTAAGCTGAAAAGTGAATATAAGCAAGAAAAAAAACCCCAATTTACTCATTTTTTCAACAGATATTTATTTAATGCCTTCTATGGGCCAGGAAGGCTCTGTTCTTGATGTTATATTATAGTTGAGGGGGATGGAAAATAAATAAACTAACCTATAGGAACTATATAGGGAATAAGAAGTGCTATTTAAACAATAGTCAGTTAGCAAATAGTAAATAGCTAAGCATTTTATAATGTTAGTAGCTTGGCTACTCAAGAGAAATGTCAACCCAGACGGCAGAAGTAGATTTTGTGTAGGGAGCTTCAGTACAAAGAACATTCAGAGCAGCTTTGGGACTGAAAGTGAGCATTGTCATCTCTTTGAAAAACAAACAAACAAAAAAACTGTGGCATTTGTACATAAAATATTTTACTGAACACTTCACTAATTAGAAATGGAGTATATGATGGATTCTAACTCCTGTCAATAAAGGCCAATAGTAGGGAAAAAACCCAAAAAACAAAACCCAGCATTTTCTTCACTGGGAGAGACTTGTACAGGGCATCCATTTGTCAGGAAATAAGCCAGAATGGCCCTCTGTGGAGGAAATAATTTCAAGTTAATTAATTAGACACTTAATTGGGAAAATTACCATATTGCATCTAGAAAATAAAATTAAAGTGATGCGTACATTTTCCCATTTGTTTGTTTTGTTTTGTTTCAAACTTCTGAGGTAAGCCTTTGATTTCCATATTTCAATGACTGGTGGAAGGGCATGGGTAAACCATAAACAGTAATGAGCCAGGCTAATAGTACAAATTCCCACAGAAACGGCCTCTGGGTTAATGAATACACACAGGATACCTTGGCAGACTTTCAAAAATACCTAATACTGGCCTAAATTAACCTCCTGAGTAAATTAGTCTACCACATGCAGGGATGGGAGACTACAGCCTCCTGTCTGTGCAGAGAGCAGAGAGGATTTGTAGGAATAGGGAATAATGACCACTTTAAATATGTAAACTGGGGTGCCTGGGTGGCTCAGTGGGTTGAGCCTCTGCCTTCGGCTCGGGTCATGATCTCAGGGCCATGGGATCGAGTCCCGCATCGGGCTCTCTGCTCAGTGGGGAGCCTGCTTCCTCCTCTCTCTCTGCCTGCCTCTCTGCCTACTTGTGATTTCTGCCTGTCAAATAAATAAATAATCTTAAAAAAAAAATAAAAAAAAAATATGTGAACTGCAAGTACATTTGCTTCAAATCCTCTGCAACCAGGGTTGCTGGTAACCAAAAACAAAACAAAACAAAACAAAACAAAACAAAAACCTTCTTTAGAAGTTCTGAGCATACTTGAAAAATTCTTCTCAGTATGATTTCCTTCACCGTGAGCTCATTGACCCCAGCCAAGCTGACACCAGGGATGTTTACAATACTGTCAAGCCTCAGTACACAAACACCCTGAGTTGGTGCTTAAAAGGGAAGGACTGAGGTAAAACCAGAGGGGACATCCTGGTAAACCTTTCTAAGGGTCTAAAACCACCCATGGTACTCCCGGGCAGACATCTTGTTCCCCGAACACTCCAAAGCTGTTGGAAGTGGCAGTGATCAGAAATCAAATTTCAATTGTGTCAATACATGCATTTTTTTTTTCCTTCTGGATTCTCTCTTTCTCTTCTTAATCCTTGTATCTGTCAAAACCCAAAATAGTTTTGTATAGAGATATGAGCTTTGGAAGGGAGTCAAAGTAGAAGCATACATTTGGGCTGGCCTCTAAGCTTACCTACTAATTTACATACTTTTGTTACTTACGGTAACAAACCACAATGCAAACCAATCAGGAAAATAAAGCAATTAAGCTGCCAAACCATCACTACCAAAAAAAATTATTTAAGTGTAGACATGCAATGTTTTTGGTTACATTACTGCTGAAAAAAAAAAAAAAAACCAGAAATAGCTTTCTCTTATATTTTATTCTTATTTATTTGATTTCATAATTCCTCTCCAAGTATGATTTAAAAGCAATTTACAGAAAGAGAGAGAGAAAGACAGACAGAGAGAAGGGATTCCTTTTAATGAGAAGTTGTCAGGTTAAATGGATTATAATACATTCCACTTCCACCTAAAATACGTTAACACAGAGCTAAAGGATCAACTAAGATTCTGCGTCTTATCCAATAAAACTTTCTTGTAAATCATCCTTCTAGGTTTGCCTTTTAAATGTCAGCTGAAATAGGAGGGGTGGGAAATTCAGCACATACATATTGTAGGAAGATTAAGGCGAATTTTGACACGTTCCTTTCTGAGAAATAAAAAGAAGATTTAACCTTAGTGGTCAGAAGATGTGGCTCCAACTGGAGTGTAGCCAAAAAATTTCTTGAACCTTACCTGGTTCTGCTTTAATGTGGACACGAGTTTCTGCAACGTGATATTTTCTTCTTCCAGCTCAGTGTAGTCCTGAAGGAGGCGGGCCTCTCGGAATTTGTATTCTCGGATTTCATCCTTCATCCGTATTCTCTGTAGCTCCACCATCTCATTGTTCTGAAACAACAGAATAAACAGTCAATATAAAACTTTCTTATTCTAGAGTTAATAATGTGCAGATCTCTTGGTGGTTAAAGATAATAAAACACCTCATAGAATGGAAGTCAGGACCACCTTCTTTTGAATGGCAATGTAGTGACATCTGTCAAAACTTTTTAAAGCACATACATGAGACCCAGCAATTCTACATCTAAAAATCACTCTAAAGTATATTTTCATAGAGGTAAATAAAAGAGAGAAATAAATCCTGTATATTTACACAAAGAATTGGAAACAGTCTAAATGTTTGCTATCAGGGAAACAAAGAAATAATCACGCATCCATTGAATTGAGCATTATAAAATTATGTAAAAGAATGAGAAAAAATGAGGAGGTTTATGTATTAAAAGAGAAATATAGCTACAGCATATTATGAAATATAAAAGAAAATTATAGATTAGTATGCAGATAGTACCAACTTTCCATAGTCCGGAGGGTGTGGGGGAGTGTCCAACCACAGGTTCCCCAATAAACCACATGGTCTGACCTGCCTTTGTTCAGCCCTTGGTCACTCGCTTCAGCCTCAGTAGCTTTCCTTGTGCTCCCTGACCTCGCTGGACTTGCCAGCTCACTCCTGCCTTGAGGCTTTGCACTTTGCACTTCCCCTCCCAGAACTCTCTGCCTCCAGATCAGGGGTTCTTAACCTCATTTGCATGATGGCTCTCTTTGACAACATGCTGAAGGTGATGAGGATCTTGTCAGGATAGTATTTTAAAGGGAAGTGAAAGGGTTCAGAGCATGTCACCCCGAAATATGCCCCTTTGACATACTGGTTATTTTGAGCTTCAGGCCCTTGGGAAATAGGAGATGCAGGAAGGGCTCTCTGCCCTCCTCCTTTCTACCTAAAAGCAGGACACAAAATTGCCCCTAAAAAAGTGCTCTCCCTGTACCAGAAGAGAAGAATTATCTTAGCAGCAGACACTGGGAGTTGGCACCAAAATGCACTTGTACAAACAAACATATTAAAATAACCCTGATCTTCCATTAGTTTCTCCATACATTTCCTAGTCACTGTCCTACAACTTACAGCCCCTAGCCTAATTTATCATATTTTGTCACATCCCCACAATTCATCATTCTTTGTGTAAAAAAGGCATAAAAGTTTTGGGGCCTAATGGTTTCTTTGGGTCCTTATTTTCCTGCTAAAGACTCCTGTGTACACGTAAAACAATTAAATACATTTGTATGCCTTCTTGTTTATCTGTCTTATCTCAGTTTAATTCTTTGGCCCAGCCAAATTTTCCTCACTTGTAGTGCAAAAGACAGGATTACAAAGGAAAGGATACCGATTCTATTAGAATTAAGTTAATACAATATTTAAAAAATTATGATATGGTAATCAGGTAGTTTATCATAGTAATGGTCCTAAATTAATTACACTTCCCTGTGGAGTCTCCTCTCAAACTGACTCTGAGTGGGCCTCTGACTTGCTGTGATCCACAGAAGGCGGTAGAAGTGAGGAGGACTCTTGAACCTTGGCCTCAAGAGGCCTGGCCACCCTTGCTCTCTTGGAACACTGCCACGAAATGATGAACCCAGGCCAGCCTGCTGGAGCCACGTGGCCCAGCCCAGAGTCAGCACCAGCAGCTTATGGGAGTGAAGCTTGATGGGCTGTTTGGCTCAGTTGAGTGACCGGTGACAGCAGCCATGGGAGTGACCCCAGGCAAGTCCATAAGAACTGCCCAGCTGAGTACAACCCAAACAACTGGTCCACAGAGTCATGGGGTATTGTATGAAGGCTCCGTGTGTTCGCTGATTACGTAGGAGTACATAACCAATACTATAATTATGTGTGCTTCTTGATTTACACAATGTATTGATCAGATTTAGTGGCAGATCTAAGAAATACCATAATTTCAAAGCAACGACAGTATTTCAAAATACCTGCAAGAACTGAGATGTGGTATGAAAATACTGATCACAAAGTCACAGGCGATGCTAATACTGCTGAGGTATTCAAATAGGATACATTCCAATGGAAGAAAATGTTAAATTTCAGTCAGTCTAGCAAAAACAGAAATGGAATTATTTTTCCCAACCAAACATCCCGCCAGGTTTCCTGAATTCTATCCATAGACTCTTAGGACCCAGGTCAAAAAACTCTTCTGCTTCTACTTGTCATTTAGATCTCAACTCAAAAGTCATCTTCTTAGAGTGGCCTTCCCTGAACATCTAGGATGAGACAGCTCCCTGGCCTTCATCCTACATGACTTACTTTATATATCAGCATTTATCATATGGTAGATAGTCAAAAAATCACTGTTAAAAGAACAGCACTAACCATTACTTGAAACCATTTATCTACCTTTTTTGCATTTATTAAATTTCCTGTTTGATTTGAACATAATGAGCCCTTTTGTATTGTTATTCAATGTGTCCCTAATACCTGGCAAATTACAGCAATACAAATGGTTAACACAAAATTTAAAGAAGAATATTATTGCTGGGATGATGGCTTTTGTCTTGTATTGTTTTAGAGTGAAGAACAAAGGGAGAATTACACACTTTGAAATAAAACATACCTAGACCTGTGAAATAACTAGACCTGTTATAATTCTTCTTCACTACATAGTCCAGCAACTTGGAGGCAGAAATGTTACTTTATTCCCTAATCCTTAGATAATACATTGAGCATATGTGTGCAATAAATGAAAAGAATGAAAAATAGAGTTTGGTATAAAGCCAAATTACAAGCTTTCATTAAATTCTTTTATTTTGCAGAAACATGAAACCTTAATATAATAATTTTTTATTTCTTGAAAAACTTACCATTAACTAAGTGATATATATTTATTTAGTTTTCTGTATTTACCTGCATAAAGATATGAAGAAACCCGACAAACTGGATGCCAGCCATTGATACAAAATTATAAAGAAAAATGTTAAGATACAAGAGATTCTATAAAATGTGAATGTATACATTGTAAAAAATGTAATGACCAGAAGCCTAGCTTGCACACATTGAGAATTAACCATAAAATCTTATATAGTGAGACAGTAAATGTCAAACAGATTTAAGGCCACAGCAAAGCTAATGAGGATCACTAACAAGTCATAAAAGAGCTAAGGAAAACTACTGATGCTAATTAAGGAAAAGCAAGAGTGTAGCTGAGAGACTGGTTAAGTTGAAAGACTAGCTAACAACGAAACAGACATAAGGACCAAAGGAAGAAAACCCGTCTTATGAATTTTGCTAGAAGTCCTTGTTTTTTGAACTGCCAAAGATTCCATTCTATGGCAATGTTCTTTGCTTCCATAAAAAATTTTAAAGATTACTCCTGTTGTTTTTTGTGCCACTCATCATCATAAATATATCTATGACAACTTCTTCCTGGGATAAGATGGTGCTGAGCTCTACTAAAAACCCCCATGAAGAATAATGGGAGTGAGAAAAACAAAGCAGGTGAGAAAGGGGAGAAATAGGTACAACCAGGGAATGCTTTAGCTTTTCACCTCCAGAGCCCTGGCCTCCAGCTGCTCCTCAGGAAGATCAGATGAACCTGAGACATTTGGGGCAGGCTATCCTCATTGTTTGCACTAGCGGCGTTCTTAGTTTTAATTGCTATTTAAAGGATTTCTTTATGTGGAAATAATAAATTCTATTATTGGCAAGAAAGAAATAAAAACATCTGTTACCACACAAAAGTAATGTATAAAAAGGAATGCCTCCCAGTTCTATAGCTTAGTCCTTTATAAATTAATTATATTTATTGTCACGTTGGGTCTTAATAATAGCTTGTGCAAGATGGGCGACAGACCCTCTAGTTTACTTATCTGTAAAATGAGTACCCTAATACTTAACATTTTGTGGTAATTGTGAGGATTTGATGATGTCACATGGGGACAAGAGCAGAGATGCCAGACACACAGATAATTTACCATAACACAACAGGACAAGTGCTGTTAGAGGTTCATACCACAAGGCTGAGAGATCAGTTACTCCTGGATGAGTCAGCAAAAGCTTTACAAAGGACGTTACATTTGAGCAGAACCTTGAAGGACAAGGGGAGTTAACATGATTGATAAGGAGGACAGACTTTCCAGTCAGAAGTAAACTTCTGAAACAAAAGCAGAGTCATATTTGTATTGAGGGCAGTGTTAAAATACTCAATAGTCAAATTGGGCATTTCCTTGGGGGATCAGCAAAGAGCACTAACAGAGAGACAGTAAGAGAAATTCAAAAAATCTAGAAAATAGCCTATTTTCAGCTTATGTCTGAGTTCCACATTATTCCGTTCAATAAAATTAAATTAATTACAGACTAATGTTAATCTATGGGGTAGGAAAAGAAACAAGATGTTTTTAGTGCTTAGAACCTTTAAAGTTCTTAACTGGGGGTTCCTGGGTGGTTGAGGTCATGATCCCAGGGTCCTGGGATAGAACCCCACATTAGGCTCCCTGCTCAGCGGGAAACCTGCTTCTCCCTCTCCCACTCCCCCTGCTTGTGTTACCTCTCTCTCTGTGTGTCTCTCTCTGTCAAATAAATAAATAAAATCTTTAAAGTTCTTAACTGTGCTGTGGTTTAGAAAATAGTGCCATTTGGTGTTGTTGGAACAAAGTAACTTGAGACGATTTTGCAGGAAATTCAATGTTAAAATAATTTGGAGAATCATCAAAGTCTTTCACACAAAGCAGCCATGTGATCAGATCTATGCTTTGGCAAGTGACCCTGCTGAGAGCAGGGAGGGTGGGCTGTAAGAAGAAAGCGCCCCAGAAAATGGGCTGAGCAGCCATTCCAAGAGCCCACAGTGAGGGAGACAGGGAATGCTGAAGGACATTGCAGTTAGAATGACTGACTTAAGAAATGAAGAAAAAAACAAAGAGTAAGGATAAAAGTGCCTAAACCAAGCTGTAAGAAGAAAAGACATCTACAACAAAGTGAATGCAAGGGTTAGTGATGTGGCTTATAAACAATTTTAAGTAGCATTAATTTGGATAGTCAAAGTGGGAACTTCTGA